TTCACGCCCACAACAGAATTTCTCTTACAATTTGTCTCAAGCTCAATAACGTCACACGCATTAATTGGGGTTTAAAGATGGAACATAAAGCAAATATTTGTCGAGACAAATGTCATTAAAATTAAACAGTGCTGCCCAATTTTCTCGGCAACTCTTCTCGCAACGCCGTTACTCAGTTTGCTGAAACATTGCAGAGTGTAATAGGGGTCATTTAGCAACTTTTTTTTGTTGAATTGTGAGATCTAAGACATTGGACATTGTATCACTCCTTAGCAACTTTTCCTGCAATTTCTCATCTCTACTGTTTACCATCTTGAGTTGCCGCATGATGAAACAGCCACTTAATTCAAGGCTGAGGTAGAATGCGTTTGCAATCTTGAAAACAACGGAATTTCTGAATATCATATTTTTGGAGAGAAATCAGAAAAAATCTAGCGAACAGTAGCTACAGTAGAGAAGAAGAATACCACACTATCAAAATCAGACAGTTTGCAAAATTTTAAAAGATCTTTGTTGGTTGTATTTTTCATATTTATACGCAGTTTGTTTGATCAACCATGAATAATTTTAAACTTCTTTCCAAGCTTTCGACCTAAGCGGTCATCTTCAGGGAACACAAAGACGTTGTTGTGTTCCCTGAAGATGACCGCTTAGGTCAAAAGCTTGGAAAGAAGTTTAAAATTATTCATGGTTGATTAAACAAACTGCGTATAAAAAAGTTTGCAAAATGTCGGTGATAGCTGACGACATGGCAGCGATCTCAGCAAAAAAGGTTATTCCGCTCTATAAAACCATGATCGCTTAAATCTTCACCTAGGAATACTCCTGCGTGAATAGCATTGTCTTCTTTAATCCATAAGAGACAAAATCAGAAATTGGAAAATTTAGGCTATGCAACTAACTCAGACTCAGACAGCCACGTTGCGCGGCTTCACTATGCGACGAAGTATCGGTTTATATCTCGCTAAGGAAAATGCACTATTTGGCACGATACACCAACCTTTATGACCGAAACCAATGTCCTAATATATGAATGCTTTGGAATAACAAAAGGGCTCGAATGTCAAAGAATTAAGCGGCGTTTACACGACCAATTTTTCCTTGACAAGTTTCTTGACAAGGAAAAATTGCCCGTGTAAATTGGTCAACAAGTTTTCCTCGACACTTCTTCCTTGACAATGTTTCTTTGCTACTGTAAACGAAGAACAAGTTTTCATTAACAAGGAAAAATTGCCCGTGTGAATAGTCAACACGTTTTCCTTGACAATTTTTCATTGCCACGTTTTCCTTGTTGTCCATTTACACGAGCAAATTTCGTCCTTGCCAATTTTTCCTTGTCAAGGAAAAGCGAAAATGTTGGCTTTTCCTTGACAAGGAAATATTGTCAATTTTACCCCATTTACAAGAGCAATTTTTCCTTGTCAAGGAAAACTTGTCAAGGAAAAGTCGCTCGTGTAAACGCCGCTTTACTATAAAGCTACAGTAACTCCCGGGCAGTTGACTGTACTACGATTGATTGTTTACAGTGGTTTGCAATGTGATATTTCGTATAGAGATCGGACTAGGGCGATCAGGAGACCCGAAGGCAAACTTCTGACTTGAAAAAACAAAAAAAAAACAAAAAACAACAAACTATAAGCGCGCTGCATTTTATACCTCGTACCCTGGCCTAGGGTCTGGGCACGACTAATAAACAATAAATCATGTGATTTAATAGTTACTTTCATAAATATGAGGATTTTTTTAATAACTGTTATTTTTTTACAGCACGTTGTCGCAAAACACAGTTTACATATGTTGCCGAGGGTAGGGCACTAGCCAATCACAGCATTCGTACTATCCGACCTATCACGGACACCGATACGTGCATGTCGAAGTGTTTCCTGGAGTCACGTTGTTTCACTATCAACATTTGTAAAAACTCAGATAATTCGTTATCCTGCGACTTGCTGGACTCAGACCATGTTAAAAATAAGGAGGAAATTGTAATGAGGCAAGACTGCACGTATTATGGCTCAGAGGTAAAGACATTTAGACATTGTATTTTTTTTGTAGAAAAGCAGCTTCAGAGCGATTTATTATATAATCCATAGTTATATGGACTTAATGGATAAATCAGATTTCATGACACGAATAAATCAATTTGTAAATTATGGAAAATTTCACTCTTTAAGGTAGCTACCAGATCTTCTGAAATCAGTGCGAATGAACAGTGTTTACATTGAGGGTTTATTGACAGTTTTCATATCCTAGAAAAAGGAAATGTAAAGAGAGATTTTCTCTATAACTTTTGGTAGAGAGTGATGTTGCTTTATTTATAAGTAATTCAATGTTAGACAGTTCTCAACTCAAGCGACTGACTAAACAAGTACAGCATCAAAGTGCAAAAAATAGGAAAAGTTTCAAACATTTTTCAAACCTTTCACAGAGTTCATGTTCAAGTTCGCCATGTGTAAAGAATGCAACTTGCGAGGGGGACTTTAAAGACGATCCCTTCCCGTATAGATGTGTATGTCCCGCGGGATTTACTGGTCAAGCTTGCCAAATTGACATAGACGAGTGCATGTCACAAGGAGCTTGTCACGTGGATGCASAGTGTACTAACACTATAGGCGGATTTAATTGTTCGTGCAAAGGAGGCTTTGTTGGTAACGGAAAAATCTGTCATGGTATGGCTTTGTTATTGGTTTTATATCATGTAAAACAAACTGCTTGGAATGTTTGTCAAAACACTTAGGTCTTGACATGAGAAATGGTGTTGGTGGGGATCCAGCTTTGTTTTAGCGGTTGAGATCTAAATTGCACGAGTATAGTTTTGCGTCCATACCGAACATACTGTTGGATTTCRCAAAAATGTGTTCCTCTATTAATTTGAAATTGCAAATGAAGCCTTATATTTCAAGGGTCTTTTTAAAAAAGGAAGACATTGCGGGAGCCATAAACCCCCGAGCACGTCCCTGGTCAAGGTCCCTKTAGTCACTTTGTTCTATGGTTTTGGATCTAACAATACAAATTGTAACTCATGCATGTCCCACAAAACAGCTGTTGATTCCGTCGTTTAGTTTTTTAAGAAATCGCATCCAATTTACTTGATTTGCAGCTCTTCGATCATGCAAAGACATCAATGACCTTGGCCTGTCAAGTGGAGACGGAGAATATTTTATCTATCCTGGTGGTCAGCCGTTAAATGTTTACTGTGATATGACAACTGACTCAGGTAATATCATCCCATCGGGAGACTGGTTGTTTGTGATCATCGAGCAAACAGTTCATTTAAGGTTTTCTAATACCGAGAGACGTGATAATGAGAAGAAAGGAAAAATGATTGACTCAAACATACGAGTGACGAGTGTAAATTAAACAACCTTTTGCGGCAGTCAAAGTCCTTGCAATTGTTTHGTAAAAAGGCTGAGTGTATATTTTCATAGGTTTAAACACTTGTACATTGTAATCTTGTACATTGCAGTACATCGCTCGAACTAAGGAGCGTGTCCGGTTGAAACCCTTTTCAGTACGTTACACATTCACAATTTTAATTAATGAATAGGGACAATCATACACTTATAGTTATGACGTCACATCAACTTTTGCAGATGCATTTTACTATGACAAAAAAATTAAATAGTACAAAACTGATACCCAAAGTATTTTGTGTGGACCCGTGACACCCCCAACCCCCCCCCCCCCCCCTCCCCCGGTCCCTCGCATTCGCCGCCCCTAGTTAACTTTACTTTCAAAATAGAAAATGAAATATAACACAAAATAATATCACATATCGAAGTTGAAATATAACCCAATTTTATAATAAAAAGATTTTATCAGATTGGAATCCTAGAGTTGACGACTTTCTGTGATAAACTGTAGCCTGTTATTTTGAGATCATGAATACCGACCGAGTTTTGGAAAGCACGATAACCTAATCAGCCTAACGCACTCCAAATTACCTTTTTACGTGGGCTTCCTGTGGAAGTCCACGTCTACAAATGCAACTGGCTTTTTCGTCGTGGTGGTGAATATTACGCTTCAAATTGGTAGCGCATCGATAGCGCATGCGTTGCAGTCTCAGTTTCCATGAGATGTCAAAATAAACCAATCAGCGATTTTTGGTAGCGCCTGCBTTGCAGATGGACTGCAGTCTCAGAATGAAAACAAAATGGCTGACAGACGGCGYCAAAAAGTTGTCTCGTTTCAAATGGTTCTAAAATGTAGCTAAAATGCTCTAAAGAGCTGAAAATCTTACAAAATCAACTGATTACCATCCAAACGACATGGATTGAGGTATATAATTCAAGATTAGCGGATGATTCGTGCAGAAATGACTGGGCATTTTCTACCGCCGACTCGAAGAGCACTACTTCTTCG